CTTTGTGTTCCTGTCTAATTCTACCTACAGCATGTTTTTACCCTGAACTCCCAGGTAGGTGGGTACAGCCTAGGTGTTAGTTAAAGTTGGCACAGGGGAAAAGCAAGGTTGTGCCTTTAACAGCTATAAGGCAGAAGTTTGACAGGGTAAGCTTTTCCTAGTATGGAAATACATTTGTGGGAAAAGCTTTGCTATGATCATATTCACTCTAATTTTATCTTATGACATGTCTGTCTCCCATGGCAGCCATGTTGTGACTGGCACCCACAATACACTTTCAAAATCCAAAATTTGTCCAGTAGTTCAAAAGGGTTTGTGGCCCCCTCTTCTACAGTATGCCACTGCAAAGACTTATCCTACAGCAGGCATCCCCAAACTTGGATCTCCAGCTGTTTTGGGACTACAACTCCCATCATCCCTAGCTAAAAGGACCAGTGGTCCAGGATGATGGGAACTGTAGTCCCAAAACAGCTGGAGGGCCGAGTTTGGGGATGCCTGTCCTAGAGGCTAAGAAACACTGCTGCCAATGCAATGAAATTAAACAGGCAGAGTAGGCAATTCTGCATCCTGACTATTCCTGCTCAAAATCTCTCTAGTAGAATTAACAAAAACTCTGACCAGCCTCCACCAGCTACTTCTTTTTTATATTTTTGTGTCTTATCATGAGGTTAACAATACCTGCAAGTCCCAGTTATACGTGAGGTATCTAAGTAGAGGTGCATTCAACTTACTGTCTTTTCAATGAAGTTATAGTCTGTTAACTTTGCTCTTCTCTAATAAAGATTTTCAGTTCCTATTGCACTTATAGTGAAACCCTAAACATCAGATATGCCAAGTGGGAGAAGTGAGGATGTGGTATGTCATCCCACTACCAAAATTAGGTGCCCTTAAGCTGATGTAAATAAATTACCCCAGTGTATCTGTTTACGCCGGCTGAAGGAAAGCCCTGGTGGCGTAAATTAAATTGGCTTAAGTTATGCTGGTGTAAAGGGAAAAAAGGGGGCACGTCAAGAATGGGAAATGTGTGCAGGGAGAGGGATAAAGAATCTTATGCTGCATCACAACTCCCTTAATTCATTGGTTTTACCCACAGAACTTGGTGTAATTTACATCACCTAAAATGCAGGTGTAACTAAATTCCCCCAATAAGAGTCAATGAAAGGACAGAAAATGAAGGTTTGCATTTCCCCTACACCCCGTCAACCAAGAGCAGTTAGAATGCAATTTAACTTACAGAGATACGCCTTTGTATCTGCTTGGTTAGGACTGCTCTGCCCATCTGCTTGGAGCCTTACAATCCTTTTAGTAGATTTTCTCAGTTCAGTTCGCAAATTTATTTAAAGCAATGTTACAGGAAGATATTGTGTAGAACACAAGAGTTACTACCCCCAAAGCAAAAGGGTAGGACCTAGATATGTAAATAAGTAAGCTCATTTTTACCCAGTTAGTAGCATTATTTTCTTTCAGCTTCTCTCTGAAGTATTCCGTTACTTTTCTCTCCCATTCAGGATTCAGACTATTTTGAGCTGGGGAAAAACCAAATGAAATTGAACTATTTCAGAACATTCAACGATCCAATGTATTTGGGCAATAAAACAGAATCCTGATTTAACTGCAAACACAATTGTTGCAAGAATATTGTCAGATAGCATTAGTTATTGGAAAAAATAAAGAGCTTGATTCAAGTAGTAAGGCTAACATTTATTAGTATTGGAGACAGCATGCATCTGAATACCAGTTGCTGGAGTTCATGAACAAGAAAAATGCTACTGCATTAAATTAAGGAAACTGAATATTTAGACTAGAGATAAGGAATGTGTGGCCTTCAGATGCAGCTGAACTCCAACTCCCATCAACTTATTGATTCCCATCAACTCTAGGCAGTATGGCCAGTCTTCAGCGATGATGGGAGTTGTGTTCCAGCAACACATGGGGAGTCACAGGTTCTGAATCCTTGATTTAGTCTGTCAACCAAATGTGGGGTGAAAAATTTTCAGAAACAGAAAATTTTCCAGTGTTTATTTTCAGGAGAAAAATAATCAATTTCACAAGTTCACTGTTAACACTGAATGGATGCCAATTGCAAATAAAATATTAGGGAATCACAATATCACATAAATGACAGGTGGCCACATCTTATTTCTTGTGTGAGGTTTCCAAGTACTGGGCAGCCTGTTGGCTATCAGGCACTTAGGAACTTACAGCAGCTTCAAAACCATTTTGCTGTTTACAAAAGGCTTTAAGGCAGCTCCCACGCTCCTGTTTGAGCCTCTTTGAAATATTGCTCTTTGAAGCAGCTCCGCACTTCTCCTTTAAGCAAAAAAGTGGTAGAGAGATGGTGGAAGAGCAGAAAGATCTGAATCAATGAACAGTGTTCAAAACTCCCATTGTTGAAGACGGATTTTGCGACAGGGAATTTCATTAGCGTAAACAGTTTCTGAGCTCTGGGCACAATACTGCGCCTAAGATTTCAGATTAAAACTGCAGAGTGGAAGGAAAGGAGGACCTTTTTCTGCCTCCCCACTTCCAGCTACTTTCTGAAGATTGGAGAAGAGACCCTCTTAAGAATATTAGGGGGGAGGGCAGGGGAAGGACTAGACCATGTGAAAAACAAACATAATATTTTAGCTGCAGTTCATTCATTTTCAGCTTTGTGTTCTTGTTATAAAAACGTGGACCTAGACATTCTGTTGTTGCGCATATAACCTAGGTTTAAGGTGCCATTTAGTGCCAAGCTTTCATATCTCAGTTTCTTTTCAGCTGATGAATGGGGATTAAATCCTGCTGCCTTAGCTGCACGATCTGGTTTGCTTCTAGGAACAGGGCATGCAGCCAATGCAGGGTTGGACCCTGTTCTCCTGCCCTCCATGATGTGGTTTGGGGGAAATGGCCATGGGGCCAAATTGGATTCCATGGAGGCCCAAGATTGACCCATGGGCAGGAAGTTATCCACCCCTGCTCTATAGCATCAGAAAAGTCTCTCAAAATTTACCAAATATCCCACATCACCGTCAAATAGGATTGATATATACTTCCCATGTCATGAAGAACAAACTGTCCTTGCCAATTAACTAAGTAGCTGTTGCCTCTGAAAAATTCTAGACAATAGAAAGACAACCCAAAGCCTAGTTGGGTAGCAGTGATGTGTGATGGAGGCACCACTGCATCTGTCACTCATGCTGGTCAGAGAAGAAGGCCAGCAAGATGGGGGAGGGGGAGGTAAATCACCCTCAAGTGATGACAGGGGTGGCTCACAATTCAGAAGACCCTGGGCTGGCTTATCCCCTCTTCTGAAACACACTCCATTTTGGTACTCCTGCTTGCCTGTACTTTTAGTGGACTGAACAGAAATATCTACAGTAGTGGAATCCAGCAAGGCTGGGGGGATGGATTCCCCAACCAATCTAGCCTGCTTTCTCGCCTGGTGTGAAGGGCGGGGTGGGAAGGACAGCCAACTTAGTCGCTATGTAATCTTGCTTAGTGCCCATGCATGTACACAGAGAAAGCCAAGCAGAAACCATTCAATTTTACTACCTGCTCAGAATGTATTGAGCCCCCTTCTAAGGTTACAAAGGCTTTGTGCCCCCACTTTCAACTCGCTGGTAGTTACAAAAACCAGAAATTATTATGTGAGCTAGAAGCTAGAACCTGGCAGACTGGAGGCTAGGCAGCTGGGAGACAGAGCTGTGTGTGATTTCTGCTGGAATCCAAGGATGGGGCTATGGGAGAAGCAAGACCATCTTAGGGTGTGTTAATGCCACAAACCTCTCCATCACAGACTTGGATCATATATACGTGTAAATTAACCATATACCCTAAAGACAGCAGAGTCTCTGCTATACTTCATTCTGAAGGAACATGACCTGGAAAAGCCTGGAACCCCTTGAATCTCACACTGCTCTGAGATCGTGGTGGTGTGCAACAATACAAATTCTGTGCTGCAGAAGACATTAGGCATTCGTTTCCTTAAAACATATGTTTACAAGTTAATTGTTACTATAGCAGGCTGTCGTTATTCATACCAATCAATAAGCTACTTGATTTTAGTGGCTCTTTTTTGGTTGTTTAAATCAATGGTCATTTATTTCAATTGCCTTGGTTTAAACCCACACATCCCGGGAGACACAGACACCCCAGTTAAATACCCCAGCAACTGATACTGGTAAGGAACAAAACATGTAGAAGCCAGACCGCGTGGTATTTACCTGCCTAACTGGGCTTTGACATGCACCAGCCTAATACCACGTCCTCACTTTATTCTGACAGAGGGCTCTGATCTGGCGATTACCCTCGGAGGGGAAAAGTGATGCTAAAGGCTCCTTGGAACCTCCCGATTCTTTAGCACTCGAAAAGGCATACTACACATGCTCAGAGGCACTCTTATCCCCGTTCCTGGTCTGCTTTCAGGGCGCTTCACAACCACAACAGCCGAGATTTGCCATGCGATCCCGCCGAAGAGTGGGAGCCGGGCGTCCGCTGCCCTCTTGCTGGGCAAGGCCGAGCTCCCCACTAACGCCTTCCAGCTCTGCCCAGCTAGGCCCACCTTGCCCTGCCGCCCCTCCGGCTCCCTCCATGCGCAGCCGACCCCTTCTTCCGGGTTGATCCCGGCCCAGCTGGCCTGTCTCAGCCCCGGCTCCTCGTCCTCCTCCCTCGCTTCTCTTTCCCGAAGCCTTCTCGGCTTTGCTTGTTTGCCTCGCCGCCCCCCCAAGCCCCCCCCTCCGGTTCCCCCTTCGCTTACCGAAGATGCCTTGCACGATGCTGAGGGGGCAGTTCAGCCAGTCCGCCACACACGGCATGTCGTCGGCTCTCGGACTAGGAGGCACACGCGGGTTTTCACCGACGGTCGCTCAGTATCCCTCCGACGGCGGGCAATGGCGCGCTTAGGCGGGCTGGTGCTTCGCGAAGAGGCGTTGTCGTCGTCGATAGCGGCGCGCCCGAGGCCGAGCTGACTCTCCTTCTCTCCGCCTCACTTCCCCCTTCCCCTCAGCGCGGGCTCGGGTTGGCGGGAGATGAGGGGGAGGCGCCGGCGCCGCCATCTTAGAGGCGGGCGGAAGGGGCCGGCCCGGCCGCCAGAGGAACCCGAGAGGCAGCCCGGAGACGTGGAAGCGCCACAGCCATGGCTACCCCGAAAGCCTCCGTGGCGGCTGGCGGCTCCTCCTCGGCTGGCGGCGGCACGAACTTGCTCTTCTCCTCGTCGGCCACCGAGTTCAATTTCACGGTCCCCTTCATCCCCGTCAGCCAAGCCCCTGCCCCTCCGCCTCCTCCAGCCGCTGCCGCCGCCGCCGCCTCGGGGCCTGGTCTCCTGCCCGCAGGTAACTCGGCTTGGACATCTTCGTAGGTCCCCCCCCCCACACACACCAGGGTTGCTTTTCTGTGGGTGGCCCGCGCCCGACGCGCTCGTGGGCAGGTGAAAAGGCGCGCCCGTTTGTTTGCAGGTGATGTCGCCCATCTCCCCGTTCCTCTCGCGGGGGACTCGCCAACTGGGCAGATAGGCACGGGAAGCTTGTTTGTGTGAAAGTGCTGCCTTTGGAGGGACTTGGGAGGGAAGTGGCTTCCGTGCCTCCGAAAGGAAGCCCGTGATCGAGAAGGTGTCGTGGCTTAATTCGTGCCAGACGTCGGACCCGCTAGTGGCGTCTATGAGCCGGAAGCCTCACCGGCCAAGAGCCGCCTGCAGGTCTTTCACCAGTTGCTCTTGATGTGAATGGTCGCCTCTCAGCCTTTCCATAGAGATGCCACACAGGCTCTAGTCCTGTTCTCACCTTCCCTATAAGCAGTGCTGCTTCTTTTTTAATTAAAAAAAAAAGTTTAGGGGTATTCTCATTCTGACTCAAGAAAATCACCATTTTATAGTTCACATCGGGAAAATAAATACAGTAAATGGACAAAAGTACAAATATTCACAAAATGTTTAGGGGTATGCATCCCCCTGCGTCTGCCTATAAGTTGTCAGATTCAAGCATCGATGACTGCAGCTGTAAAAGTTTACATAACAATGAACCAGTAGGTCTTTTAAGGAGCCACTCTGCTTCCTGCTGGGTGATGACAACGAATTTGGAGGTGAGGTGGGGGAAGGGCATTCCCAGTTAATAAGTATTGTTTCCAGATTGAATTGGGCATTTGTATATATTTTTTCTTGAAACAAAGGATTGGAAGGCACAGGCATGTTATGGTGGTGATTCGTGGCTGGGAGAACTTGTTGATGATGGGGTTTTGGGGAAGGGAGTAGATTATGGAGGGTCTGTAACACTGAGAAGCATGGGAGAATAGCACATGGATGTATGGAGATTAGCCTCCACATCTGATGCCTGGGAAGCTGTTAATGTAACATCAGGTTTTTTTTTTAAAAGGACCCAAGGGGGATCCTGGAAATTATAGGCTATAGCATCGCAGACTAGTATTGCTAAAGATGAAATAACTAAGTATATAGAATAAAAAGCCTTGCTGAAGCAGAACTAACGTGGTTTCTGCAAGGGTAAGTACTGGCTCACATGTGAACCTTGGCCCTTGGGGAATGGGAGTGGGGAAAGGATCCAGTCTGTTGGCTGGATTCAGTTCCCTTGTTGTTGTTTAGTCGTTTAGTTGTGTCCGACTCTTCGTGACCCCATGGACCAGAGCACGCCAGGCACCTCTGTCCTCCACTACCTCCCGCAGTTTGGTCAAACTCATGCTGGTAACCTTGAAAACACTATCCAACCATCTCGTCCTCTGTCGCCCCCTTCTCCTTGTGCCCTCCATCTTTCCCAGCATCAGTGTCTTCTCCAGGGAGTCTTCTCTTCTCATGAGGTGGCCAAAGTACTGGAGCCTCAGCTTCACGATCTGTCCTTCCAGTGAGCACTCAGGGCTGATTTCCTTAAGAATGGATGCGTTTGATCTTCTTGCAGTCCATGGGACTCTCAAGAGTCTTCTCCAGCACCATAATTCAAAAGCATCAATTCTTCGGCGATCAGCCTTCTTTATGGTCCAGCTCTCACTTCCATACATCACTACTGGGAAAACTATGGCCCTATCCCTATCCTATAGTGGTGAGGCATTTCCTAGGGGCAACATTTTTTGAGAGAATACTAGGTAGATCTTGAATTAGGCTAGCTACATCCTTAATGACTCTGCTGTACTAACAGGCGGGTTAGAGGATAACACTCTTAACACTGTTGTGGCCACTGTTACTTGGTGCTTGGCTGCTGAGTGTATTCTGTGTTGTCCTGTAATATTTAGTTTTAGGACTACATTTTTTGCTAATAACTATGCATGATAAATGCAGATACTGAGCACACATGGTAACAGGCAAACTTGCCTGTTTACACCTGCGGATCAAGTTCATGCTAAAAGAGCATTAAAGAGAATATAATTACTTATGCTGAATTTTGGGGAAAGTTTGTCACTGGGTGTTTTCAAACTCCTCCAGAGCGTTGCAGTTCTTTGTGAAAACAATAACAAGCTCTGTGCTTTGTTAATCCCTCAGGCTGGATTCTTGATTATCTTGTCAGTGTGGGGGCCCTGGCATCCACTTTCATTTTGCCTGTTCCACTGGATTACAGGGTAGATTTTATGCTGTGGATGCCTTCCATTTTGGCAGCGTTCTAAAATCCAGCAGCTTATGCTACACAGCCAGTCCTCACTACTTTTTGTTTGTGCTTAATAGCTTTTTAGAGTAGGGTTTGTTTATTTGCATGTCTTGTTCTTTTCATCTTGGGCTTATTGAAGATGATGTGACTACCTTTGATGATAAAACATTTGCTGGTGTGAATTAGACAGAAGTCCTACCTTTTCTGTTCTTCTAATAGGGTAAAATTGTGGATTGTGATTTCCCCCCAAACCTCTTAGGAAAAGCAAAATGCTTCATCTTAGACATTGCTACAGTGGTTCCTTGGTTTAAGAACAGCTTAGTTTATGAACAACTTGGATTAAGAACGCTGCAAACCCAGAAGTAGGTGTTTTGGTTTGTGAACTTTGCCTTGGAATAAGAACATGTTTTGCTTCCTGTTGAGTGTAAATTGAGTCCTCCGCCCCATGGGCAAGCATGCCTTGGTTTAAGAACGCTTTGGTTTAAGAACGGACTTCCGGAACGGGTTAAGTTCGTAAACCAAGGTACCACTGTATAGACATTGATATGTGCATTTCAGAGGCCTTTGGAAGCTTGGATTCCCTTTTGGGTAGTGCGAGAGATTGCAAATGAAGGTTATGTTATAGCTAATTATGTTTGGGAATAATCTGCATTTTATGCTAGCAATGTCATTTGAAAATTCTAGGTTTATGTAAGAGGAAGTAGTTCAAAAAATAGTATTTGCTCTAAATGTGTTCATGTCTAAATGTGACAGTAGTGTAAAAGGCAGAATAGCAAGACATACTAAAGAGCGGAAATAAAATAACAACACTGCAATGTTTGACAACCTGCTTTGAAGTCTCTCATTATTTGTTACTATTTGAAGTAATTTTCAAAAGAAAAGTATACAATTTATCCAGGGGGAAGGATGAAAGCACAGTTCTAAGGAAACTGAGTTAAATGTCTGGGCAATTAAAATTCATCTGCAGGTATAGGCAATATATATATAGGGATGCACATTGACAGTGTGTATTCCTGCATGTATCCCAAATTGGCAGACTCTCTGAATCACACCACACTGTTAACAAACACCTGTGAGAAATGTTAAAAGCACAATGCACTCAGAATGGGTTATTTAAAAAAATGTATATATTCCTATTCAGTAAACATGTATCTAAATAAAGTGTTTTCACAGTGCTTCCAAAAAATGTTAAGACTCATGATTTGTAAATATCAGAATGGAAAAAGAGTCCAGGGGCTGGAATGTCACCACTGAGAATACATCTCTTAGTGTGGTATGCAAACCACTTGAGAGTGTGTCTCAGAAGGTTCGTTTAAGTAATGATGTATGCATAAGCCTAACACATTAAAAGCACCAGTGAGTTAGTTGGCCAAGTGATTTTGTCAATTTAATAGGTGATTCAAAATTCTGCTTTTGGAACTGAAACCAGAAAACCTTCATACAAGGAAAAGTCTCAGTTCTCCAAGATAATGTGCTGCAGTGAACAAGAAAGGAATGGGACTGGATGAATTTTCCTATTTGGGGGGAAATGTTTAAAACGGGCAGTACTACCAATAGTTTCTCCACATAAGCTTCCCTTTCTTTCAATAATCCTTGTATCCTTTGTTGTAGACGATACGACTGATGTTGGTGAAGAAGACAGCTTCCTGGGGCAGACTTCTGCAAATCCTAACCCCCCGCCAACTTTCAGTTATTTCTCCCAAGTTCCTAGCAGCAGTGATCCCTTTGGAAGCATTGGGCAGCCACCCTTAGGCGCAACATCCCCACCCCAAGCTGGAACATCTGTTTTCTCTAAGACTTCAGCTTCTCTCCCACTTCTGCCTGGATCACAAGATGGGCCAAATGCTTTCTCAGCTCCTCTTTCCAAATCACAGCCTTTTAATGCGCCACCTGCTTCAGGAATTGGTTCATACACTGGTCCTCCACCAGCTGGCTTCTCAACTCCTCCTCATGCCATATCGCAGCAAGGCTACAACCCGTATCGCCATACTACTTTAAGCAGTAGAGCTAATCCTTACATCACTCCACCGCAACTTCAACAGACACAAACACCCACCCAGAACGTTCAGCCTCCAGCCTCTGTACCACCTATGCACATGTATGCGACTCCAGGCACGCTGCCACCGGTATGGAAAGTGATTTTTAGCTTTTGGAATAGGTATAAAACTTTTAAGGGTCCTCTCGTGACCTAGCTTGCCCAGCCCTGCATCTTCCAGCACCTCCATTAGTTCAAAGTAGTAATTACTAAATTCAGGGGTAGGGAAAGAGAATTGGAAAGTATTGATCAGTTGACAGACAAAACAAGAAATGGCAGTATTTTAAAGCATTAATTTAGTATGATGAACAATGAGAGTTATGCTACAAAAGCTTCTTTTTGGAACCCTCTAGAGTCTAGACATTGCCTGAAACTTTACAGAACACTGCCAGATCACAGGGCAAAGATAAAATAGGAAAATAAGATTGTTCTTGATTATATGGAATGTTCTTAATTATTGTTAATAAAATCACTTCTAGACTGCTTTTCATTGAAAAAGTAGAAATAAAGTAATGTATCTATAAACAGCACCACTATAGTACCAGAATAATTGTGAACTGGCATCAGCCATCAGGGAAGAGAGTATTGATGATATTTAAGCAAATCAAATGATAGACATTAGAAAATATTTGACCCAAACATGCCTAAATATACAGACACAAATTAGGTTTCGCATTAAACTTGATAAATTTGAAACCTACACTGAATTACCGTATTTTTCGTCCCATAGGACGCTCCGTCCCATAGGACGCACCTAGTTTTTTTTTGGGGGGGGGGGAATAAAGGAAAAATGTCAGCGTGGAAAAAATCCACGCTGCGAATGTCTGCCGGGCGTGCGGGGCGCTCTGCTTCAGGGCGCCCCGCGCGCCCGGAGGCAGGCTGCTATCCGCAGCCTGGGGAGCCCTGCAGGAACTCCCGCAGGGCTGCCTAGGCTGCGGATGTGTTCCCAAAGCACCGGGCGCTCTGCTTTCAGCGCGCCTGGCACTCCGGGAAGCAAGCTGCTATCCGCAGCCTAGACAGCCCTGTGGGAACTCCCGCAGGGCTGCCTAGGCTGCGGATGTCTTCCTGAAGCCTGGAGAGCAAGAGGGGTCGGTGCGCACCGACCCCTCCCTCTGGCTCTCCAAGCTTCAGCGAAAGCCTGCATTCGCCCCATAGGATGCACCCAGATTTCCCCTTCATTTTTGGAGGGGAAAAAGTGCGTCCTATGGGGCGAAAAATACGGTAGATGTTGATAGAGAGCTTTGGAGAAGGCACCTCACTCTGAATCAAGCTTGTATTTAATGACATAGTAATCAGATGTATGGAATGAAGAATCTCAGGATCATTTTGTTGGATCTGACTAATTCTAGAATTTAAAAAAATGTATGATAATAATGTACATGATCAATGTAATCTGGAGGGCAGTGGATTTTGTGTTTATAATAACCTTTTAAAATTAAGAATTGTATACATTTAAACTGGTTTCATTTTCAGTTTTCTTCGCCTCAGTCACCAATGCCGCCTGTGGCTCCCATGTCAGCAGGCCCTTTGGTGAAAGCACCTCCCATCTTACTACATAACCAATATGAGCCAGTTCAGCCCCATTGGTTTTATTGCAAGGAGGTGGAAAACAAGGAGCTATGGATGCCATTCAGTGTCCTAGATTCTACAACACTAGAGGAAGTTTATAACTCTGGTAAGGCCTCTGTGCTTTTCATTTATGTGATGGCTTTTTGGCTTTGAAAATAAAGAGGACTAACAAATTGCTGATGATTTACAGTGAGAAGGCAGAAATACTAACCCGTCCCAATCTAGTACCCTCCAGATGTTTTGGTCTGCAACTCCAATCAGCTGCAGACAGCATTACCAGTGTTCAGTCCAAAACATCTGGAAGGCACCAGGCTGAAGAAGACTTCTGTATACATTTGCATATATTTACATATCCTTATGCAGGTGTTTCTTAAATGGGAACATGATATATGTTCAGTTCCACATTCAGATTTCAGATTGACTTTTGTGTATAAATCCCATGTCCTGATTTTGTTTTCATAGGCAGCTCTTTGTTTCATTCATCTTGGCAACTTCTATGTGAGCAATTAGAAAGGCATAGTTTGTTGGTAGCCAGTTCACAGAACTGTAGAAATGGAAGATATCCCAACTAGGGTAATCTAGTCCAAACCCCTGGGATGCAAGAATCATAACTAAATAATCCCTGACAGATTGCCATCCAATCTCCTTTTGAAAAACCTCCAATGAAGGAGAGTCCCCCACCTCCTGATGGAGTCCATTCCATTGCCATACAGCTCTTAACTGTCATAAAGTCATTCCTAATGTTGAATCACGGGGACGCGGGTGGCGCTGTGGGTAAAAGCCTCAGCGCCTAGGGCTTGCCGATCGAAAGGTCGGCGGTTCGAATCCCCGTGGCGGGGTGCGCTCCTGTTGCTCAGTCCCAGCGCCTGCCAACCTAGCAGTTCGAAAGCACTCCCGGGTGCAAGTAGATAAATAGGGACCGCTTACTAGCGGGAAGGTAAACGGCGTTTCCGTGTGCTGCGCTGGCTCGCCAGATGTGTCCGGAAGTGTCTCCGGACAGCGCTGGCCCCCGGCCTCTTGAGTGAGATGGGCGCACAACCCTAGAGTCTGGCAAGACTGGCCCGTACGGGCAGGGGTACCTTTACCTTTTTTAATGTTGAATCAGAATCTCATTTCTTGTAATTGCAATCTATTGGTTTGGGTCTTCCCTCTGGGAGTAGCAGAAAACAAGCTTGCTCCATCTTCCACGCAGCAGCGATTCAGATATTTGAAGATGACAATCATATCACAGAATTATTGCCTATGAGAATGCTTGTGTATGTCGTATACTGCCTACATTCGGATCCACACCAGTGAACATAGTGGAACAACTGGGAAAAGAGACATGCAGTGACAAGTCTAGAAATCTTTCAAAAGTGCCAAGTTTCCCAGTAACACATTTGGTTTGACCTCTCTGTTTCATTGTTCTAATATAAAATTTGAAGAGAAGGAAAAGTGAATATTTTCTTCTTGTTTCTAAATATGCGTAAGTTTATCAGTTGAAGGATTCCAAGCTAATAAAACATTTTTTAATGCTTCTAGTGCAACCTGATCCAGAGAATGTTGTCTTGAGTACTGACGGAGGACGTTATGATGTTTATCTCTATGACCGAGTCAGGAAAGCTGTATATTGGGAAGAAGAGCCATCTGAAGTAAGAAGATGTACTTGGTTTTATAAGGGAGATCAAGACAGCAGGTTTATTCCTTACACTGAGGATTTCAGCGAAAAGCTAGAGGTGAGTGTTCTTATAAATGTGTGTGATGGCTTACCGAAAATTGGAATTTGAAAGGGCTCCGATTTTATGGGAAGATAAAAAATACTCACTGTGGAGTGTTGATAAAATGTGGAAGAAATCCCGGTCTGTATTACTGCTATTGTTACTGCTGGTGGTGTTGTACAATGACCAACATTATTATTATTATTATTATTATTATTATTATTATTATTATTATGCATCTGAAATACTGTTGTAAGATCAGTGAAGTGTGCTTCATCCACATGCTCCTGGTTATTCACTGATATTTCTAATAAACATTAAGGAGGCTAGGGTGTTCTGCACTACCGCTATTTGTCTTTAAATGGGGTAAATTGAACTTTATGTTGATGTTCAACCTACTCTGAGATTCAGCTTCAGAGTAGCAGAATATCTAAGGCCTGGGGGGGAAACATATATATTCCTTTTGCTCCTACTCTGTATTTTAAAATGCAGGCCAACTTGGGAATTTGGGTTAGCAGGCAGGCTAGAAAACACTGAATAAGTACATGGAAACAGTAATGTACACCGTGACATTCAGCATTGTTTGAATAGATTTCTGCTCATGTGTTATGACTTCCCTCTCCTCCCCTCCCCTCTGTGCCCCCACCACATGCCCCCCCCCAATCTATACTGGCAGCAAGCTGGAGGGATCCTCCAGAGGAGGTTTCAAGGACATGAGGGACTACAGAGGGGATCAGAGGATGGGGAAGTTCTGCTGTGCAAGCTAAATTCAAAATATTGGAGTTTTGATACTACAGGATTGTCAATAAATGAATGTGGTATAAGCTGTTTATGGCACTGTCCTTTGACATGACATCTTGATGCTTAGTTTCTTTATGATTTTGCAAAACTGTTTTCCCCCCCAGGCAGAGTATAAGAAAGCTGTTACCACAAATCAGTGGCATCGGCGACTGGAATTTCCAGGTGGAGAAACTATTGTTATGCATAATCCTAAGGTAATAAGAATTTTTATTGCACAATAGCATTGCATGTGTGGTTAGAGCAGTATGTGAAACTCAGCGTAACTTGAGCTTCTGTTCACGGAAGGTGCCTGCCTCCACTTCCATTTTCTCACAGTCTCTTCCTCAGTGCCACAACTGAACCCACTCTGCAGGATCTCCTGACCCTTGGGGGCTAGAGATGCAGAAGAGTCATTCTCCACCCACCCTGTTCTTTGAATGCACCTCTGGTTGCAACCCCAAATGTTTAAATGTAGTGTGTTGTCCACTGATTTTTTTCAGGTTATAGTTCAGTTCCAGCCTTCCGCAATACCAGATGAATGGGGTACCATACAAGATGGGCAGACTAGGCCTAGAGTGGTAAAACGTGGAATTGATGAGGATCATGAGGAAATTCCAGATGGTGAGTGGTTTAGGACAGAGGGCTCTCATATTAGCTTATTCCCCCCCCCCTTTAATAAATAATGGGGTAGAATGCGGGCCATACGTTTTCCATGCCCTAAGTGTAGCAGAGTTTGTTGGACTTTTCTGATTTGGTTGGCTTTGCCAGCAAGGGGCCTAATGAGGTAGTTCCATGGAGATAAATTCAGGTTTATTTGGGGGAGGAGAACCCTCCCATCTATTCCTTACTTTATTAATATTACAAGTTTTAAATTGCTCCCTCATCCCAAACAGCCCTCCAAGCGGTGAACAACAACAGCAACAACAAAAATATGGAAATAGACAAATGTACCTTTAGAGATATGATCTGATGGCAATAAATATTTATATAAAATCTGTCACTTTCCCAAACATGTTCCTTTTTTAAGTTAGCTGTGGGTCCCTGCTACCAGCCTGTTTGTGTCTGTTGTGTGGGGGTGAGGAGGGAACATGGGGCTCTTCTGCCTCTATGCAGTTAACAGTGTAGTTCGCTGGCAAGTTGTGCTGTGGTTCAGGTCCTGCTCTGGAAGCCAATTGGCCATGCTGGTTGGTTTCTTGTGGCAAGGCCTCAGACTGGATTGGAGAAGGAGCATTTAATACATGGTTAGGAAGCCTCAGGCTCTTCAGATGTTGCTTAAGTCCAAGTCCCATCAAACCCATTTGGCGTGGTCAGAAATGATGGGCGTTATATTCCAGAAACAAAAAGAAGGCTAGAGATTCCCCATTGCTGTTTAATGAAAACTGTTGCTATTTCTTTTCACTTTTATAGGTGAGGTCTCTCAAATCGATCATCTAGTATTCATGGTCCATGGCATTGGCCCTGTCTGTGATCTGCGATTCAGAAGCATCGTTGAATGTGGTGTGTGTTTAGACCGTGTGTACGCAGGAGATTCTTTTGCTGATATCTTATTGTGTCCTACTTGCTTACTCTTGTCAGCATTTATATATTACTGATAAGTTATGTTATTGTTGATTAATGCAGGAGTGGGGAACATCAACCATGGGGGTTCAGTACAGGCCTCCAGGTTTCTCTGTCTGGCCCTAGGGGTACCCAACCCTGTTCTGCCACCTCCCCGACCTGCTCCTCAGCAGCTGTGTTCCACACCATTCTGCAGTGTGTCCTTGAACTGATAATACCTATTGCTTGCTCGGATATGGGTATGGAGATGTTAGGATTAGAGTCCCTCAAGTCCTGGGGGACCTCTGGCTCAATGGTTAATTAGCAGAGTCGCAGACCTCTCGCCGTAGCGTGCACTCCAATAAAAAACAGAAGAGTCATTAGTAATAATTTACTAAAAATAATTTACTAATGCATGAATCTTGTGGTTCTTTGTCAAAGCCTTGACAAGGTGCATCTTGAGCAAAAAAAGCAGTTCATATAATACCCAACACTATACAAGAATACACTGAGAGTGAGAAAGAAAGAATCCAGGCAGAGAGAGAGAAAAAATCGAAAGTAAAATGAAACTGCTCGCTGGGGAGCTGATGTTTGTTCCCAGTGACCTTGAAGTGAGATGTAGTCAAAACAATATCCAGCTTGCTTCTTCGCAGAAATGAAAAGTGCTGACCAGCTAGAATTCCGTCCAGAATGTTCCAGCTTCAGCTTCTGCATGTACAAAGAATATGCTTAAAAACTTGTTTACTTTGATAAACTGGAAATAGTTTCTGTACTTGAGAAACACCATTAACCCTGACAGGAGATGTGTGTGTAGAAACTTTTATGTGGCAGGAATGTAGCCTATTGTTCAAAGGCAAGTGTTGCCTTCACTTGCCTATGCACCTTGTGCCATTCACCCCACCTATTTTTGCCCCTCACCTTGCCCACCTTTGGCATGTGGCCCCCTAGAAGGGAGGACGTCTAGAAGGGAATGTGTCTGTTATCCTGAAAAAGATTCCCCACCTTTGCCATAGGAGCATATAATCATGGGTCCGTAGGCTTTTATGGCACACCACTTATTAGATATCATGTGTCCAGGGTGCTTCCCAGTCGCAGAATGCACATGGCAGGTAGTTAAAGTGTCAAAGGTAACACTTCCAGTCACTTCTACAGCTCTGGATACATCAGTTTAATGGCTAGGCAGTTATTCCCCTGTCCATGTTGCAGCAACCCTCCACCAGTTTATGTACCTCCCTTTGATAGGCTATGTGCACTTAGCTTAGGACTGCGCCTGCATGGAAGCTTTCTCTGTTTCCTCAAGGTTCTGGGAGACAGTGGTGCAGGAGAGGGCGGGGAAGCACCCAGCTCTTCTCCTGCCTCACCTGCCTCTTCCTCCTCTTCTGACTCATCCTGTTCTCCACCCTCCAGCTCTGAAGCTTCCTCTGCCTCTGATTCTTGCCTCCTGGCCAGTACAGGCCCCCACAAAACACTGCCCCCCCTCTCCTGAGTCAGACTCCAGCCCCCTGCCCACATTGCATCAGTGGCTTGCCGGTCCCTGACATCATGTGGAAACAGCTTTCAATCACTCCAATGGATGCTGCATCAAAATATCCTTTTAAAACTGTATTAAAAATATATTTGGATGGAAGGGGAAATGAAAGAGTGTACTGTTGTTTTCTTTCTGAAGGGAAGGAATGTTTACTATATAGGTAGATTAGCCAGTGGTCAGTGAGGGGGAAACAGCATAATTTAGTTTTGTTGATGTAATTATTTTGTAAATAGAAGGCATGACAACCCCTTCAGTCAGAAAGAAAGAATACAATAATTGCTCCTGCAGCCTTTTCCCAGTGTGTCTTTCTAATGTTTAAATGGGTATCACTTCAAAGTCATATGATATTTTAAAAGCAAAATCAGACTGAAACAATGTGAAACTTTAGCTGTGTCTAATTAATGGCTTAGTTTTTGTTTTGTATTGTAGTGATTGTTTTACAAATTTACACTTATTTATACAGTTTATGAACTGGAAAGTTTTGGTTAGATTAGCAAGACTTCAAAAGTGTAAAGAACTGTTGGAAAATATATTTGAACACACGTAATGGGTATCAATTTGTGGAGTTAACATTAACCTCTTCTTTTCTTCCATTTTTAAAGTTGATGATTTTCGGACAGTGTCTCTGAAATTGTTGCAGTCGCATTTTAGAAAGTCAGTAGAAGAGCTTAAAGTGAGCAGGGTCGAGTTCCTGCCAGTTCACTGGCATAGTACTCTGCATGGAGATGCAACTGGAGTGGATAGGTAGGTCTAAAATACTGAAGTACCAAAACACAGTTATTCTCCAAACTTCTAATCTGTTTCAGCAGGGCTAGCTTGTTGTTTGATCATTGATCACTGTCCCAGAGATGAGCGGCTGAGACAATAATGTGATAGAATGCTTTAACTGAAAACTGCTCGAATGTGTATTGCAGGTTGAGAATGAATTGCCACAAGCTGAATAGTCCTATAACCCCCACTATACTTGTCTCATTAAAATAAAAGAGATCATTGAATCTGGTTTAGCGGATGCTATTAAAAGTGATCATAAAGTAATTGTGTTAAGAGTTATGTGGCTTATCATAATGGACACGAGCCAAAGGCAGCCTTGGACTTGCACTCTTTTTTGGTGCAGCTACAATAAGATCAGAAGCATTTGGTTCTGTTATTGATTAGTCACAATTTAATGTTACATCCAGTGCGCAGCGTCATGGGGGAAGGTGCTCTCTGGCCAACCGGCTGGCTGGCTGGAGCGTAACTTCCTTCAATGCTGCTGCATGAGGGAAACACTCCCTACCTGCGCACAGGAAATGATCTAGGGAGTGTTTCCTGCCTGCAGCTGCGTGGGGGGGGGGGCTGAACAACTTTGGGCCATCTCCCCTCATTAAAATTGAGTCTCCCAAAATAGGGGGGGGGGTCTTATACACCGGGGCGTCTAATAGAGTGAAAGGTACGGTACTATATAGTGCAGACTATATAAATGATAGGGCTTGTATCCAGCAGTGTTGCTCAGCTGACTGTAAGGCTTATGTTAGTGGAACAGGGAGGGAAGCACTGCACCCCAAATCTGCTCTGGAGTTGGAGGACCTTGACTGTAACTAATAGCTATTGGGATCATCCTGTTTTTAGCTAAGCTCTTTAGTCATGTAATGAAAATGACTTGGCTATTAATCTATTGATTTTGTGTTCCCAGGAATATTAAAAAAATAACTTTGCCGACCATTGGACGTCTTCGTCATTTCACCAACGAGACTCTACTTGACATACTGTTTTACAGTAGCCCCACCTACTGTCAAACGATTGTGGATAAAGTAGGGCTGGAAATGAACCGTCTCTATGCACTTTTCAAGAGCAGAAACCCTGAATTTAAAGGAGGAATTTCTGTTGCTGGTCATAGTTTGGGTAATGCTACAACTTAAAAATGATAAGCTCTTTCAACAAAAAGCTATTTTTAAAAATTCCACAGTTCTTGAGAGATGTTGTCCAATGTTTGGTTTTGTGACTTCTTGGGCACACCATTGCTGTAATCTGGTTTGCGTGCAGGAAACAACTCTAGGTCATCTGAAACTATAAATATGTTTGAGAGAACATATCAAGAGTTCAGGATATGTCTTTCTATTTAAGTTTGGACAAGATTAATGCTATCCTGAAACATCTTATTTTGCTTCTCCAGGTTCGTTAATATTATTTGATATCCTGTCCAACCAGAAAGATTGGACTTCCACAGTTAATTCTGTGGCTTCTGTCGCTGCCAATGGTATTGGGAAGGATGCGGCTGAATATGATCAGCAGGTATTTGTGCTAAAAAGCAATTGTCCGTTAAGACTTGTGTGGCTGGCTCTTTTAACTGTTTAAACCATCTTCAAAACACTGGAAATATGCAGCCTAGTCAATTCTCTGTCTACATACTTTACGGGCTGTCTTTTGCATGCGGCAGCTGCCTGCAAAATAAAGATCCCTGGAAGATCGGGGGTTTTGGGTAGGGTATCTGCTGCAGAAGTTACTCTGCCCAGGGAAGCTGTCAAGAGTGATGCATAACGGGCAGGCCTCTTATTCACTGCAATAATAACCTGAATAAGGCTATTGCTTAGTTACATTTCTCTGGGTATACCTTTGACTTCCACATACTGTTAGGAATTGGTTTTTTTTATCACAAATATTTTTCTTTCTCTTTCAAGATGACAGTAGAGTCTAATTCTGCTGGTTCTGTACATTCTCTTTCCAACGATGAGCATGATGTGGAGGACGATATTCCAACCTTGCAAAGAACCCTGGAAATGCTTAGCTTGTCTGAGTACATCAGCACATTTGAAACGGAGAAGATTGACACAGAATCTCTGGTATTCTGGTATTTACATTACCACGGGGAGGTAGCAAGTTAAAATGGACTGCTGACTAATTTTACAAAAGGTGGAAATGTGTAATCCAGGGGTGGGCAACCTTAACTTTATTTCATGTGGTCCTTTGCCTAATTTCATGTGGGTGGTAAGGGTGTAGTGGCAGAAAGAGGGGGGGGAAGGGAGCACTCCACTTTTGGCTCTCCCTGGCCACCACCAGCATGTGGCAACTAATAAATTATCCCTGAGGGAATGCAGCCCTTGACAGAAGAAAGGTTCCCCATCCTGATATAATGGTTTCAGCATAACACACCCAGATACGTAAAAATAAAAATACATTGTGTCAGGAGACGGGATCACACACCCACACCTATACATGCATTGCAAGAAAGAGTAGAGGGGTTTGCAGAGCATCATGGGCCAGCCCGAGTTTACCCAAAAGCAACACTTCCCACAATCTGTGTATGTTACTTACAGTATTCACATATGGCGGCAATAATAATTAATTAATTAATATACCACCCTCCATCTGAAGATGACAGGGCCGTTTGCAACATAAACCTGTACCTTAGAAAAAAATTGCCAGCATCCAGTCTAAACTATAGGCCTATAGCTATTTTTATTTTTATATAATAACTTCCATGTGTATAGCACTTTCAGGGATCATTTCTATAGTTTGTAACTATAAAAGAATGTGAAATTAGAAGCCTGCCGTACTTACAGTCTGGAATTAAGGTCCAGGGAGGGAAATGGAGGCATATCTAAATGAATTAACTATATGCTATTATTTAAGTTACATATATTTAGGCTTAGTTAAAAGGAATGTATTTGGACATGTATTGCACTATTTACTTTGCCTGAAATAGTTAGAATTTGTGGTTCCAGAATTTTGTTTGTTGGGTATCTCTTTTACTAAAATATGCAAATATAAACTGTGTTCTTAAAAAGTGAATAAGTAAACCTTGATATATATATATTTACAAAACAGCTGATGTGTACGATTGATGATCTGAAGGAAATGGGAATACCTCTTGGGCCGCGAAAGAAGATAGCAAACTTTGTAAAAGACAGAGCGGCCAAACAGGTAGGGAAATGATTGCTTTGCAAGCCAGAACTATGTCAGTAACATTTCAGTGTAATAGAGCTGCTCAAAGAATTACAAAATAGGCATGGTGAGAGTTGGATAAGAAAGGGTTGGTCAAAGTAGAATAATACAGACAGGCATGTTGTACTTCCCAGAAAGGCTTAATACGTACATAATATGTACACAATGCAAAAGGAAATAGTAGTTGAAAGAAAGGAGTAACAAGAGTTGCAAAGTTTTATTTTACAAAACTATTAGAAAAGAATACAATGTAAGCTTGATATTGTAGCATCTCCAAAATACTCCACAATCAATACCTAATTCACACATTAAATACTTTCATTGAGAAGTACACATGCTTAGTTAAAACTGGCTACAATTTAAATACTATGAATTTTAGTACTGGTTGCATCCAGCTGAATAACTACCATGTATCGTACTGTATTGGCCCGAATATAAGCCGTACTTCCCCCCCCCCCAATTTCAACAGTGAAAAGTTAAAGTGCGTCTTAGATTTGCCACCTTACAAAAACTGGCTTTTATGATATCGCTGCTGAAACAGACATGGTAAAATGGAACGGGTGTGAGTGCCTGCGGAATTTTAAGGGAGCGGCTTATATTTGGGTATTGCCTTTTTCTCTCCCCCCCCCCCCCGAATTTTAAAGGTGAGTCTTATATTTGGGTGTGGCTTATATTCGGGCCAATACGGTAGTTCTTTAATGTGAAATGTTTAGATGTGTTGAGTCAAGAGAGCCATGGATACAGGGCATGAGATCTAGCCTCATGACTTGTTTTTCCTGAATTGTGTAGGGTGGCTTGAGCCATAGATTAGCTGATTTTTAAAAAAGCAGAATCTAGTGCAAATGGATCCTATTATTTCAGCACTTAAAGATCTTACTAGGCTGCTAGTTTGTTTCTGAATGCAGTCCAAAGTGTTTGTTGTGAACCATCAAGTGCTGTATTCTCTGAGTGCCAGAGGATCTGAAGAATGTTCTGCTCCTATGTGGCTATGAAGGCAGGGCCTTCTCTGTTGCAGCACCCAGACTGTGATACTCCCTCCGCATGGCTATTTGTTTTTGCTTCCTGTTAAGCACCATTTGAACACTGTGCCAAGCTTTTAGTGGGATTTGACTGATATGGACCTAATTGACTTGTAATGTTATATAGACTTCTTGAGGTTTATTTCTTATTTTGCCTTGTATGCTGCCTCGGGCACTAAAGTTGGAATATAAATATTTTTAAATGAATGAATGAATGAATGTTAAAAGGTGATTTGAGTGAGTTAAGACTTGGTTGAATACAATAATACAATACAATAATTAAACTAAATAGAACATAGCAGGGGGGTGGTTTCTTCCCCCCTCCTCCAAAGCTTTTGAAATCTTTGCATCAATAGGAACAGAGAAAAGCAGCATTGGAGAAAAAGGCAGCAGTTGAAGCCATGATGCGGACCCAGGAAGAAGCTGCGCAGGCAGCAAAGAAAGTGGTCAGTTTTGCTTCGCCTTCAGAATCTGGTATGCTCCAGGATCCATCCAAGAAAAGGCTTCCAGTTGGAGCTTCAGTTTCCTCTGCCAACATAGATTATGAATATTTTGAAGTGGGCACTGGTCAGGTAAGTTGTATGCAAGTTAAAATAGTCCTCACTGATGGAACTGTCTTTTTTTGACAAATACCCCATTCACAGAACTGGTACTGATGATGGGGTCATATGTTATGGAAGCGGTGGGATCTTGGCCCAGAGAATGGAGTAAGGTCATATGATTCACTTCAGTTGTGGAAGTATACAAGTGCATACAGTTTGTATACCATCCATTCCTCAGAAACACTGTTTTTAATAAAATATGTTTTTGCTAGCCTTGTCTTGTTATTATCAGATGAGACCTTTGTATCTGTCTTGTGGGATACACCTGTGGCTTTCAAGTGGGCTGACTGACATATGAAGGAAATATTAATCATCTCTTTTTTAATTCTTTGTCTTCTAGGTGTCTGTGGTATATAGTGCACTTGACTTTGAGCCAGACAATTTCTTTGCTCTGGGTTCACCAATTGGTGTATTTCTCACTGTAAGAGGAGTGGAAAAAATCGATGAAAACTACAGGCTCCCCACTTGCAAGGGATTTTTCAACATCTATCATCCGGTTAGTGAGAACTACAGGTTTTCAATCACTTTCAGCGAAAGGACTATAGACTGACTATCCATTTAACACCTAATTGGATCTTTTTAAAAGCTCAGGAAAACAATTTGTTAGGCTGAAACTGATTTTTAGCACACCTTCAGGTACTTCTGTACCAATGTATATTTAGTTAAGATAATTACTTAAGCCCCATAACATACAATGGACCTGCAAATCAGTGGAATAGCAGTGCAATGCATATACATATCTGCTCAGTGGGGCTTACGGGCAAGTAGGTATAGGACTGCAGCTTTTAAGTTTGTTGCATCTCTGCACTGGATTATGGTCACACTTTTTTATTGCATCATTAAATTTTATTTAAGTATTCGTTTTAGAAATAGGTCTCCTGTGAAAAGAGCTTTTTAAGTCCCCTTCCTTAACTGGCTTTGGGGGAGGTCATGTGAGGCCTCTGGAAGGCCCTGTGAGGCTCCCACAAGATTGATGTTTAGATTGATCACTGCTTTCGTTCTTGTTTCCAGCTCGATCCAGTGGCTTATAGGCTAGAACCTATGATTATTCCTGACTTGGATGTAAAACCAGTTCTTGTTCCACATCACAAAGGCAGAAAAAGGCTTCATCTTGGTAAATAAAGTGTATTCATATATTTTCTAATATAGGGATCTAGTCAGAAGGCTGGATCCAGAACTGGCTCACTACTTCACAGGTCATTTTGAGAAGGTGGGCAGGACCACTCACCTGTCCATAACCTGATGTCAGGTGATTCAGTGTTCATGCTGTGTCTGCAAAGGGTAGTGAAATTGAGGGTAGATATTGAGGGTAGTGAAAATGCTGCCTTTTACGGTCAGAGAGCTGACAGCATTTTACTTATCTCTAGTCATACTTCTGTGTGACCACTAAGACTGAAGAGAAGCAGCTGCTTGTCCTTTGACAGTAAAAGGTGGTAGCAGAGACATCACAGGAACCAGCAGAGGCATCTCCAAACTTTGAGATGCTTGGATCAGATAACAGATCTCCACACTTGTTGTCATATGATGTCAGGTGACTGAAGTCAGGTGGGCATGGTTTGCCCCAAATGGTCCCACAGGCTAATTAGACCCATGGGCTGGAGGTTTTCCACCATTGTTGTAGATTATAATAGACAAACAGAAGAAGTTCATTCTCATAAATAAAATTTTGCATAATTTCACTGACCATTCTGAAAGAGCAGAATTCACAATTTCCCCTGTCAATTTACCATTTCCCTCTACATTGGGCCTTACGGAACAAAAATATTTTGGGGTCTTCACATCTCTTAATATAGTGGGTAAGGAGACATGGTGATCATATTCTAATACGTCTCTTTATGAATGCTTTTGCAATGCTGTGCATGTGGTGGCAGCTGTATAACCCCTATTGTTTGTAGTGATATATTCCTCTTGAATTTATACACATGGAAAAGTTTCAGCTGTAAAATAGTATCAACTACTATAGCTGAATTGTGATAACATGGGGTGCTTGAGGATATTGTCCTTGCATTTTTAATGCATTTCATTTTTTTGGTATCGGCTGCCAAAGTACTAGTTGTCTCAAGTTCCTTTTAGAACTTCAGCACTTCTACAACCCAAATCTGTCCTGAAGGTGGCAGAATAGCTCATTTCATAGACGGTATATTCAGTTTTTCCTCCTAAATGCGCTCTAAATAAGTTGGTGCCTGTGGAATAATACTTGTCTTACAATTCATCATTTCTGTGGCGTTTCTAATTATTGGAGAATGGTTCTCATTTCAGAATTGAAGGACTCTCTTTCTCGAATGGGATCAGACCTGAAACAGGGTTTCATCAGCTCGTTGAAAAGTGCTTGGCAAACCCTGAATGACTTTGCACGTGCTCATACATCTTCCATTCAGCTCCAAGCAGAACTGGAGAAGGTAGCTCATCAGATAAAACAGGAAGAAGAAAAAGATGAGACAGACGGTTAGTTGTTGCATGGCTATTATATTTTCAGTAATTACTGTAAATGTTAAGTGACTGGGACGTGCCCCAGTTTTATTGCCTTTGTATTAGGAAGTTAAGCTTGATGCCTTTAGGCTTGATTCAGATTCTTACCCATCATTCTGAATATCTAACCCTGTAGCCTCTGGGTAACTCCCCCAACATATAATCTTTAAATTTATTTTTACTTTGAACACTTGGTCTGAATGAGAGTTTTGTCAATAACATTTTTCACTTTGTGTCTTTTGAACTTTTGTTGGCCAAACTGAAAGCATCCCCTTGCTAGCTGTACAAGCTTCATGTACAGATCACATAAAAATGGGGTATATCTCTTGAAATGAATTGCCCTTGTAATACTGTCTCCAGATGATACTCTTCCGAGTGACCAGCAGTTTGCCAGCTTTATCCTGTCTGTGATTAATATGGCTTACCACTGTTTTCCTTGTTTTTGTCAAAGCCGCAAAAGCTTTTTGGTAACATCAAAATTTGTGCTAGAGTAATCAGATGGAATTAATGTATTAATATTGACAAGTACTGAAGATTTTGATGGGTCCCAGAAACCTGATGGGAATTTTGGCTTTTTTCTTTGATTAACAGTCCCTACTGTTCCTTGCCGCAAAGTGTTTTTTTGAACCTCCTCAGTTTTTAAGTGTAGTTTGTAAATAGTATGAAGGCCTGCAGTCTGAGAAACACAACCACAGAAGCCCCTTTTGGTAACTGAAACAAGCCACAGAATTGAATTTGTATTTGGGAAGCTTTTTGCTTTGGCTTTTATGGCAGGATATTCTGACTGTTACTTTATTTGAGCTAACATGATGAAACACCACACAAATATTAGGCTGTTGTTCTGTTATTAAATACAGTGGTACCTAGGGTTAAGTACTTAATTCCTTCCGGAGGTCCGTTCTTAACCTGAAACTGTTCTTAACCTGAAGCACCACTTTAGCTAATGGGGCCTCCTGCTGCTGCCGCGCCGCCGGAGCCCGATTTCTGAAGCAAAGTTCTTAACCTGAAGCACTATTTCTGGGTTAGCGAAGTGTATAACCTGAAGCATGTGTAACCTGAAGCGTATGTAACCCGAGGTACCACTGTACTTCGAAAGTTTGACCTCCTGTAACTTATGCTTCTGTCTTTTACTATTAGGAACGCATAGGAGCTGCCTTGTAGTGACATACCATTAGGCCATCTTGCTGAGCAAGATCAGTGGTCAGGGATGATGGGAATTGTAGTCGAAAAACAGCTGGAGACCCAAGTTTGGGAAGCCCTGGTCTATACTGACAGGATGCAGTCAGGAGACTCTGCCAGCCCTACCTGGAGATACTGGGAGTAGAACCCGACCTGCTTCTAAGGCAGATGCTCTACTGAGCTACAGCCCTTCCCACATTGTGTAGATAATAGGAGGAACCCACAACTGTAACAACCCAGACAATATTCCAACAAGCTTAAAATGGATAAAGTGTAATAGGGACGGCAGAAAGGCAGAACCAGGAATTCATCAAAGATTCAATTTACCATGTACTTTTCATGCTCTGTTTCCTTCTGCTGCCACAGAAAAGATCGTTGAAAGCCCAGATCTTTCAAAAGATGAAGACTTGGCTGTAAAAGTTGGTTTGCTAAATGGAGGACGACGTATTGATTATGTGCTGCAAGAAAAACCCATAGAAAGTTTCAACGAGTATTTGTTTGCTCTACAGAGTCACTTGTGCTACTGGTAATAATATTTTATTCTAATATGACACACAGCTTCACGTTCTTTCCTGCATTTATTTTAGCTGTTTCTTTGCTAGCCTTTTTGGGACTTATATCCTGGAGCAGTGCAGGAGCGGGCGGCAAGAAGCCATCACTGGCATTGCTGCTTACCTGGGCAGGGTGGGGGTGAGGTCGGGGCCATGTGGTTGCACCACTGAACATGCCGGATTGGCAGGGTCACTGCTGCTGGTGCAACCACACGTCCCTGATCTTGCCCCCACCCTGCCTCAGCCCCGTCTAGGTAAGCAACAGTGATGCTGGTGTTGCGAGGGCAGCTACTTGTAATTTTGTTCCGACTGTGACACCTTCCACACTGAGGATCAGAAAATGGCAGCAAATATACAACACAGTTTGCTGCGTGTGAATACCCATACATTGGTTGCATCTTCTTCTTGTTGTTTTTGTTTAGTCGTTTAGTCGTGTCCGACTCTTCGTGACCCCATGGACCAGAGCATGCCAGGTACTCCTGTCTTCCACTGCCTCCTGCAGTTTGGTCAGACTCATGTTTGTTGCATCTTATTTTGTTCCTAAGATCAGTTTTTGCACCAGATAAAAGAGTTTTTCACTGTAATGTTTTTAGCCTGGCTTGAGTTTCTCAGGGCTAGAAAAAACTTAAGTACAACAGAGTCTTCTGGTCTGTGGCACAGGGCAGAAAGTGGATAGACCTGCTATTGTCCCAGTGTGGTCTCATTGGTAAACCTACAAGAGATCCCTCTCCTTGTACCAGTGCAGTGTTCGCAGTCACAAAAGGTTAATGTGAAATGCCACATACTGCAGTCCAGACAAAGCACAGAATTTGCACTCTCCAGTGGAATGCTGCCCTTTGCAGGCAAACACAGGATCAGAGCTGCCTACAGAAGTGGGGTTTGGTGGAGAAAATAAGGACTTGGTATTATTATTCTTATTATTATTATTACTACTACTACTACTGTGATTGTGCTAATATTTAACAAAGTCTTGTGTGCACGAGAAGTATGCCTGTTATGTACCAGTAAAAGGTGCTTTTCTGGAGACAAACAAATTATTTGTTTTTAATGGTGTGTGTCCAAAATATAAAGATAGTGATGGGGGTGTTTTTAAGTATGGGTTTACTTGAGAAACAGTGAATGAGGATACTTCCTATTGAGCAGTTAGCCCTTTAAAATAACCATCCAAACAGTATTTTAAAGTTTGCTCCGGAATTTTAATTGACTAGCTGGTGCAATAAAATGTATTATCCTGCTTGTTCTGCATCTGTGCGGGTTTGCAGTGGGACTAATGCTGGAATCTGTTTTGTTTGGTATATGCTAAAAAGATAGCTGTATATTGTTCTCCGTAAGGTGGCACTCTTGGGCTTTTTTTAATGAAAAAAAAATCTATTGATCAATAAATTATAACATTAATAGGCTTCTTAAAAGTAGTTTGGTAGGAAGGGGGCAAATGATTACTTGCATATAGAGCTCCACTTGTTATCCAGGTAGTAGACAAATATAACCCTTTTCTATTTGTGCAATATTTACTCTTGTTCCCTGTGATTTGCAGCATATGGTTGAACACATGCAAGGATTAATGTAGCAGACCTTTACTTTTCCTGCCCATCCCAACCTTATCCCCCCTCTTTGTATGGTGTCTTATTAGGCATCAGCTCTGTATTTTTTCCCCCTTCTGAGCACAGTACCTAGACAATTTTATAAATAACTGTAAAAGCAATAAATTAGTGAGACTTCTGTGTAGAGATAATATAGCATTAAATGCATTGCTTGAAAGACTGCTGCTAACTCTCTTTGGAGATGATCTTAGCAACTTCTAAAAATGATATAAATCTTGAATTTTGTAATCTAGGTTGTGTAGAACAGGTAGATCGATTTAAATCAATGCTATTTAGGCTATGCCAACTTCCCCACCGCCTCCCCTTTTCCTTTCTGATAAGCAGCAGCAACTCGGCTCCCAGGTCAAAGTAGTGAGTGCAATTTGTTCAGTGGGGATTACTCCCAGACAAGTAAGGTATAGGACTGAGGCCTAAGTGTGGGAATATAGGAACATGCCGAGCAGACGGCTTGGGTTTTTTCTTCTTTCCAGTTTTCTCATTTATGCCTCACTGTGCCTTTGCCCAGCCCCACCCTCAAAAACAAAACACAAACAAATGTCCCATGACCGCTAGGTAGGATGGCCAGGTGCAAAAGAGGGTAGGGCACCTGGACCTTTAATAAGTAATGGAGAAAAGGACATTTCTGCAGGTATAGCCTACATGGCCCTCTGATAGATGGAAGCAAGTTTTGATAGTTACTGGGCAGACTAGAGCAATTTATTTTCATCAGGAAAAAATTAAGATACCTATACTTGGCAGTTAGACTGTAAATATTAATATGTAGACACATATTACCTAAAACATTTTTAATCTACATTTTTTAAAAAGAAAAAGTTTATTTTTAAAAAATCAATTTTTATCCATCTTGGTGTACAGTAATTTATGATAGGGCACCTGGATGATCCTGCACTGTAGAAGGAGGGTGAAGTAAATTATCTTTGATTTATTGATATTAATGCAGGGGTTTTTTTTACATTTTGCGGAGAGCAATGTTGAAATGCGCACTGTGCAAATGAAATATGAGTTAGCAATAACATTCATTGACAGAGACTGGCCAGAAATAACATGCAGTGCTGTCTGTAAGGCTTCATGCACACTGGAATAATAATAATAATAATAATAATAATAATAATAATAATAATAATAATAATTAATTTTTTTCCTAGAAGGGAACTTAAAATGGGCTACATTAATACATTCAATAAAATAACACAACGGTACTTTGATGTACTGTGATTTTAATGATAGTATTAATAACTAGAAAGTAGAATTAAAATAAATCCACGAAAGCTCATCTGAGGGTGGAAAAGATCTGCTTCACCCACAGAGCTCAATGAGTGTGCTAAAGGAATCTGTATTTTTATTGCACTTGTGACAGTACAGTGTTAGGCACTGATGGATGATGTCATGGAATGTAAAGTAACATGCAGGTTGTTGAGGAAACCAGGCTGCCAGCAGCAGATTGCTTGTGAGGTATGGGAGGAATGGTGTTGAGAAGCAATAACAAGGAACAAATGAAAACATCACAGTGGCAAACTTTCAGTCAGCAAGATCACATATTTAGGTATTTGTGTCTGCTGCACTTGGGGGGAAAAATGCTGAGTAGCAAAAGGTTTCAAGCAGGCAATTATTTGGCAATCAGCACGTATTTTTATTTGCAGGGAATCAGAAGACACCGCTTTGCTTCTCCTGAAAGAAATCTATAGAACTATGAATGTTTGTCCTGAACAGCCGCAACATTGATGTATGGATACCCATCATTCAGAATTTGTAAGTAATCCTCAATATAAATGCAGCACAGGTTGTCCCTACTTGAGAGTACAACCCTCCTTTTGTAGAATAGGGAAGTGATAAGAGCTCCTATTGATGTGAGAATGTTAAATGGCTGAAATTTAGAGACTTTGTTCCCTTGTGTGCAGGTGACAAAATCTTAGGTGGTCTCCTTATGTGTAGGAATTGCATTGAAAAGTGCACCTGGAGTAGACTTCTTTGTCCCATCCAGTTGCATAAGGCCATTTCCCTTATCCCAGCCTTCCAGGTGACTTCAGTAGTAGAAGTCATTTTCTTCCTTTCCCCATGATTGTGGCTTGGAATATGAAGCAGTTAGACCACTACTTACCCTGCAAATCCACAATGTACTTTGGATATTTGAGAGAGTGGTGAAAAGAAAAAGTGGAAATGTTTCAAGCTTCCAGTTTCCTGTGCTGCTTTGCAATATTGAAATCAGAACTTCTGCATCTTCTTGTGACTGGATGCATAAGCTGCACTGAAGCAACACCTAAAGCCCTTGTCAAAGGAATTTCAAGCTTATGACAGCTCTGGTATCTGTTTAGCATTGCATTGTTAAAAATATGACAGTGTGATTCCCCCCCCCCCCCAGCAACTATGAGAGCATAAGCAAATCAAAGGGATCTGTTTAAAAGATGGAAGTCACTGTATTGCAGTGGGCAAAAGTAATTTTGTGGTGCTCATATTTTAGTGACTTGCAAGTTCATACTAGCCAGGAATGAGATTAACTTCTGTTATTTGTGCCAGCATTTGTGCTAGGAAGGAGCTAGATAACGTCTCTCTTTCGAAATTAGTTCTTCACGGCTTCAGGTTAGAGAGAGAGGGAGGGAAACGCAACAGAAAATAAACCCTAAATGTATGCATACCCTTGCAGAATTAAATTCTGAAACACTGAACTAAGTTTTAATTATTATTCAATGGGTTATCAAGTATTTCAGCTCATTTAACTCATCTGTTATATTCAGTTGACATAGTAGTATTGTTTAGCAAGGGAAATGTCTCAGTTTGTGTGCATTTGTGTGTAGATTTAAATGATTTGAACTGTGCTTGGTGTTTGTTTTATACTTTGTAATTGGGTGGCTCTGTTAGGTTCCCTAAACACACTATGGAACCAGGGTATCAAATATTAAGCATCATTTGTTTAATATCTTAATATTTTCTTTTAACTGCACTTGTTGCAGCTCTGGTAAACAAATAAAACGTAGCTCTAGAAATTATTCCCAGGACTCAGTGAAATATACTCAGTTTGGCTCATACCATGCTGCTTCATGACATATTCATGCTTTGCTTGCTAAGTGAAGCTACATCTAAAATATGCAGATAAATGTCTCTGATCTTATGCATAACTTAAATGTAAACTCAACACAAATAATAACTTTTTGGAGGGGTTGGCAGATCCTGTGCTATCTCCTCGTGAGAGAGCTCATAGGTAAAAATATAAATGCCATCAGGTTGGGGGGCAGAGAGAGAGGCTTTCCAGCTGTCTACAATTATTGGGCTGCTTCAAAAAGGACAGCACACTCTTCTTTAAAAGTTTATTTACTGGTTGTTCAACAACAGTGCATTTTGACAGTGTTTTTTTCTCCTTATTGCTATACTGCATCAGGATGCAACATACCCAGTTCACCAGATGGGCACAGTGTCTGTACAGCAGTGTTTCCCAACCTTGGAGCTGCAGCTGTTTTTGGACTACAACTCCCATCATCCCTAGCTAGCAAGACCGGTGTTCAGGGATCCTGGGAATTGTAGTCTGAAAACAGCTGGAGACCCAGGGTTGGGAAACACTGCTGTACAGGATTCTCAAAGGTTCCGTATGGACCCTACATTCTACAAGTAGTGCAGTTGGCCATTTGAAGCACAGGCCAGCCTGGGCCTCTCCCCATTTACCCATACAGCCTTCCCTCTTGCCTCAATACAAGTCATAGCCCTTTACATAAGCTGTGAAACTAACCAAGTTTGCCATAGCTTACAACTTCTTCTTTTCTTTTTACTCTTCCTTCCAGCCTTTCTAATCTTTCTGCTGGCCTGCCAACAACCTTTTGAAGAAGGCAACACCAATTCCCTCGTCACAGATGACAGAAGTGGTTTCAATCTACAGCCCTCAGATTCCATACCATCATTTTTTAATTTTTGTTTTCTTTCTTTTTTTATTAACTGGGGTGGAGGAAAAGAAAATGAAGCCTACCGTTCAGAGTACACGTACCTTTTTTTTTTTATAAAACCAGCCTTGAATCATTTGTGGAAGAGTTGCCAAACATAAATGACCCTTCAAGAAATGTGTGGCATGCAAATAAATCTTTATAATCTGATTTATCAGACTTGTATTTTCTATAAGGGCTGTGGTTTGTTTTTTTCTTAAAAAAATTATTGGTAAACAGCAATAACAACCTTTTTCTTTAATAAAAAGACCATTTGTCCCACTTCTGCAAGAACTGTGAAGTTCAAACTACTTTAATACAAATCTACATCCATCCATTTGTATTTGTTGAAATAAAGCAATTCCTTGCACCTGGTAAGCCTACCACTAAGATTTTATAATGAAGTATCTTCTGAGCCTCTGAGGGAGAGTGTTTTCAAATGCTTGCAACATGAACTTCAGCTCTGTATCATAGAGAGCAGCTACAAATTGCTTGATTTTGCTGTATGTTTTTTTTTTTTTTTTTTTTTTTTGCAGAGGGAGAGTAGAAAAGGATAAGCCAAATAAAATTTTAGTTTGACAGTAGTGACCAGCCTGGGATGCGGAAGTCTCCATACAACTTGAGAGACTGGATTTGCAGAAATCAAATACATTTATGGCCCTGCAGGAGAAGAGGAATGCTTTGATTATTAGATTTAGAGGGAGTTTTGGTATGCTGAGAACAGTCCCTGTGTTGCTTAGTGGAGTATGAGAAGGTTAGAGAAGTTTCTTAAACACTGGACTTCTATCATTTTTTGCTGCTCCTTCTGATTCCCCCTCTGTATACTTTCAATTTTTCCATTAAAAATAAAACTGTGATAGCTTCTATTTGCTGGTCTTCTACATAGTGGCTTGTCATGGATGAGTAGCCTTTTTGGAAAAAAAGTGGTTGTTTTTTTTTGGGTGGTAACGTCCACATTATTTTTGATATTTGCTTTGTTGCAGCATTGTGTCTTGAAGAGGGAGGTAATAGACCAGGTGGTGCTGTAGTTGGATCAGCTTCTGCCTGCTGTAAAGTCTATGCAGTTTAAAACCTTCATATTCTTAGGTTGAGAGAACTTTTCATTGCAGTATATTAACCTGTAGCTATTTTTATATCTTTATAAATATAATATTGTGGCTAATACTAAAAGATACTGTGATACCAGCAAGCTTCTATGCTTGCCTGCCCCCCCCCCCCGGTAATCCTCACTTTATCTCAGAAAGCAACAGGATGTTTTCTGTCTTGCTTTTTCCTCTCTTTCTAAATATTCGGTGCTCCATTCATCACAATGAAATTTCCCTTCAGTCATTTGTTAAACCAGAACAAATTTCTGTCAGAGGAATGCGGGATGAAGCAACAGCTTGTCAGAGAGCATAACAAGTGGGAAAGCCCTTTAATAAATCCTGGATTAAAGTTGTCTCTGAACAGGTTTCAGAACTGTACATTTGGTATTCAGAATGTGTTTTCAGTCCTCCTCAATAAAATACCAAAGAACAAAAGAAATGCAAAGGTTTTCAATAATCGACAACAGTATTGAGTGTGTGGCGTGTACTGAAGTGAAATGTGTAAAGGTAGACCAAATAAATGTAATGTTAGGAAATATGAAAAATAAAAAGGTGTTTATTGAAACTTTTAATTTTAAGGAAAAAAACTTAGTAATTTCCTTTGCTTTTCACTTGCTCAATATTGTTTAGTGCTCTGGCAGGAAAAGGCTTCTGAGTTGGTGGCATAGAACATACATTGTATTTCAACTTGAAAAATTTAAATTCATTAAGAAATTCTATATTTTTTTTAGCAAACATTCTTTGTGTCACCTGAATTGATGGATAAATATTTTCCCCCTGTTTAAGATATTTATCTGGGTGTTGATGTGGTTATCTAAAACAGACTGAATATTGCCTATTAAACTTGACATTTGTTGATAGGAACATTACACCTGTCCTCTGCGCAAACTGCTACCTTTTATTCCTGTTGGCTCTATTCAACAGCTGAATTCTGTCACATTCTACAAATATTTGAGGTTCCAGTGATATGAGCACCAAAATGCCAAGTTCTTGTGATGGGATAAGGATAGAACTTTGTACAAAGGAGACATAATGCTGGATTTCCATGCAAACAATATGGAATAAAACATAAGTTGTTTTAAACTGTGTTTAAATTTGTGTTTTTTAAGTATCTAACCAACCCTGGGACCTCAGCGTAAAGGGTACGCAATAAATAATAATAGCAATAATAGCCCCAGTCCCACAATAGCAATTTGGGGGAACCTTCCTCTTCCACTAGAGCAGGGATTTCCCAACAGGTCAGTCGTGAACTATCGGTCTATCGTGGGGCGTCCCTGGTTGATCGCGCAATCCCCCCCCCCCCGAAAAAAACTCAACAACTTTGGTGAATTCTTCCTTAAAAAAGCTCAACAACTTTGGTCAATCCAATCCAACGGGTAGATCACTGCCAGTTTTTTTTATAGTGGGAGTACATCGAAATCTTTGGGAGTTGAAACCACATAAAAAAAAAATCCTTCCAGCAGCACCTTAGAGACCAACTAAGTTAGTTATTGGTATGAGCCTTTGTGTGCATGCAGACTTCTTCATATACCTGGTGAGGTTGATGGACTTCTATTTCATGTGGCTCAATGTGGTGCCTTCCATAGTTCTAGTTACAGGTAGGTAGCCGTGTTGGTCTGCCGTAGTCGAAACAAAATAAAATAAAAAAATTCCTTCCAGTAGCACCTTAGAGACCAACTAAGTTATTGGTATGACCTTTCGTGTGCATGCACACTGGACATTCCTGCACTAGAGGATAGAGAACACATGCATACAGGAGCAGCCATAGCTCTGTTATAGTTCACCAGCTTGGGAAATGTAGCTGTGCCCTTTGGCAGCTGCATCTCAGCATTTTCTCTCTCTCCCCCCTCTTAAACTGATGAGAGACAAGACAACAGCAGCAATAGGGCTCTTCTGGACTGAGCTGTCGTGTGTGTTCTCTCTCCTGCTTTGCTACTCCCCTCCCCTTTACTGGCAGAAGAGAGAGAAGAATCGGTCACTGGACGCCAGCCAAGAGAGGAAGAGTAGACAGGGCAGCCAAACATGATCCAGCATCAGTACTTGGCACCCTCAGGCAGCTGGCAGGACACACTGACGCTTACGATTGACCCCCAGCTGTAGCTTACCTGGTAGCAGCAGCTGTTCTAATTTCCCACAAGGCTTTGGAGCAGCACTATTTGAAAAGCATTGTGGGAAACGAAAAAGGCCACAGCCATCAAGGGCACTTTGCCAAGGGCCATGCGAAGCTTGATATGCCAAACCTTTCTGTGATTGTTTTCTTTCATTTTAATCCTTTCTAGTGTTTTGCTTCAGTCAGTACTGACAGTTGTTTCTCCTGGGTTTGAGAACTTGACTTTAGGTTTCAGTCCTCCCATCACTACAGTAAGCAGAACACTAGTCAAAGAAGGGGATACAGAGGATGCATTTAGATTCTATTAAACAGAAGCAAAGAGTACCAGCTAAACATTAGGATTAGTGATTAGTCTTGCCTTTTGTTCATTAGAATCTAGATTGATCCTCTATACTGCTCCCCTTAACTAGCATTTTGCTTACTGTTCTGATGGGAAGACTGGAATCTAAAGTAAAGTTCTCTAATTTGACTTGGTTTTCTGCTGCCTATCATGTTTATGCCTTTTTTGATGCTGCTGTAACAGCAAAATGATTTGCATCTCAGTGAAGTTTCTTGTCACTGAAACAACTGAATGTTTTAAGGAATACTTCAGTAGGTTGTGATAAAAGTGTCTCTTGTTACAGTGGTGAAACTTTAATATCGAGAGTAACAATTTGCCATGTTCTTTTCAGTTTAGCCTTGTTTTGTTTCTCCTGTGCCTTTATGATGTACTGTATGTCACTGTGATTAGGAAGAGTGTACACAACACCATTGAGCCCAGCAGCAAGGGCCTATTAAATAGATACGGAAGACTTCATAAAAGGTGCTTTGTTATGACCACTCTTGGAGCCATAGACTACATCAATATTGGAAGAGTTCTATCATGGAAGGGTGTATAGTGTTTCTTATATATTTACTTTTTCCGTATCAGTAGGTTTGAGCATTTGACTTCAGAAAAGGGCAACCAAAATTATCAAGGGATTGGAGAAACTCCCCTATGAGTAAAGGTACAAAATTTGGGACTTTTTGGTTTAGAGAACAGGTAAGAGGCAACATGATAGAAATGTATAAAATTATGGGAAAGTGAACAAAGATTCCCCCCCCCCCACCTCACAACATCAGAATGACCTTTCTTGGGATGGCTTGCAAACCTTTGGTAACAACTACAGTGGTACCTCAGGTTAAGTACTTAATTTGTTCTGGAGGTCCGTACTTAACCTGAAACTGTTCTTAACCTGAAGCACCACTTTAGCTAATGGAGCCTCCTGCTGCCACCTCGCTGCCGGAGCACGATTTCTGTTCTCATTCTGAAGCAAAATTCTTAACCTGAAGCACTATTTCTGGGTTAACGGAGTCTGTAACCTGAAGCGTATGTAACCTGAAGCTTATGTAACCCGAGGTACCACTGTATGCCCTAGACTGGTAAGCACAATCTCCAGGTTTAAGACTACAATATTCAGAATGGAGACTGAGAAGTTCATTGTGATATTTTGTGTGTTTTCTGGGTGGTAGCAAATGGTGGTGTTGAGTGGGGAAAGGTAGGAAATTGCTTTTATTAGTGCCCTGTTGCTTGAAAATTGTGGACTTGTAGAGCTGGGTCTGCTTTGCACATACTCTGGTCTGTCCAATACAGTTTCAGAGTTCTTTCCTGCCTGCATTTTCCTCACATAAAAACCATAGATTTGAGTATGCTGCTTTTGAGTATGCCTCTGATGAGGCCATCCAACCTAATTAGAGGGGAGATTTTCCTCTTCAGAGCTCCAGTCTACAAACTCTTCCATCATGCTTTCACCTGCCTTTTGGCACTTAACCAGCCTGATGATTGAGTTCTGATATACTTTGAAGTTTGCTCACTATTTTGTAATGTTTTAGTTGACCACAATAAAGACGTGCTGCTGTTGCTTTTCATATTTTTTTCCTAATGAACTCACACTGCTACCTAAAATTTTTGGTGTTTCCATAGCATTCTGACTTGTGTCAACCAGCATTTTAATTATCTGAAAAAAAATACATTTTAAATCTGACAGCAGCATTTTCTGCACGTTGGCAAGTTTTGATAGTTTATTGATTTCTAACTTTTTTTTTATTCCATCAGCACCATACTAATAAATCCATCTTCCTATTTGCACTTTGAAACAAGAACTGCAAATATTCTCATATTGTTGTCTTAACATTTTTAAAAATAATTGACCTTGAGATTGTTCATGTCGGTAGAGCACTGTCTAGGAGAAAAAAACCTAGATTCTCCAGCCTATGTGAATGTTTACAAATATGAGAAAATCTTTTCACAAATACACAATTCAGACCTTTAAACTTGAGTTTTGAAAGCAAGCCACTCTCGCTTCAAGAGTTTTGGAAAGAAGTTTTTAAAATTCTTAAATTATTTAATTTTTCATCGTGTAATTAACTTGCTGCTTCTGTTATGATCTCTTAGGAGGCAGAAACCACAGAAGTGGGTTAATTTCAGTTCACATTGATGGTATTATATAAATGAATTATAAGCACTTGCATTATGTCCCATAGACTATAGGGGGAATTCAAATGATTAACTTTCTCTAGTTAATTTGTTGCTAGGCTTATACAGCTAAGCAGAGAAAGGAGAAAACCCTATCATTTCCATGCTGCCATTTCCATGCTACAGGTGTACACCAAATACAAGATTCAATTTGGTTCCTGATTTGGTAATTCAGCTCAAAGATCAAATGATTCACCCCAGAACATGCCTTTGAAACATCTGGAACTTCATGCCTCTTGATTGACTACCATGGGCAAATCAACAAACAGCTTTTTTTTGGTGGGGGTCACTATTGGATGACATTTGTTGGGATTAGTAGCCTGTTCTGATTGGATGGAGCCTACCAAGTGTCAGACAAATAAGTGTCAGAACACGCCTGGGGGGCACACACAGCCCCCCCCATGAGACAAACCTCTCTGGGTGTCTTCCTGATGAAGCGCAGCCTGGGACATCCATAAATCATCAGACCCGGTGTGCACCAGTGACACATATCTTCAGATATGTGCACACTCAATCAGCAGAGTATAGCAGAAACAAAGTGGAGCTTTGGTGTGCGCAATCTAAGAGAAAGAGAAAGTAAGTACAAAAGTACAATATAGCGGAAGAGATCAGACTGACTTCCGTTCTCACACTTTCCAAGCCTGGAAAGTAAACACACTCATGTGATGTAACAATCACACATCCAGCAACGGGAGAGTGAAATGCTGACAATAAGTGCAGGGGTTTTAGTGCTAGCTGCACTTAAAGTTGGAGGTTTGAAACTAGTGAATCACCTATAAGTATGTGTTTAGCAGAACTGTATGAAATTCGCAAGCATGGAAGCCCCAAATGTGGGTATGGATCCTGCCAAGTTTCAAACAGATACTGTATTTTTCACTTTATAGGACGCACTGGACCATAGGAGGGGGAGAACAAGAAAAAAATAATTCTCCCCCTCTCTGCTCAGCGCCCTTTCAACTTCGCTGAAGGGGCACTGCGCAGAGAGGGAAAACTGCGCAGCGCCTCTTCAGTGAAGCAAAGCCTGGAGAGCAAGAGGGATCGGTGTGCACCGACCCCTCTTGCTCTCCAGGCGGTTATCCGCAAGCCTTCGGAGAACAGCGGGAACTCCTGCTGCACTCCGAAGGCTTGCAGATAGCTGCCTGAAGCCTCCGGAGTGCAGTGGGAGTTCCCGCTGTGCTCTGGGGGCTTCAGGCGGCTTCAGCGAAAGCAACACAAAGCCTCCAGTGCGCAGGGGGAGCTCTCCCTCTGCGCTTCGGAGTCTTCGCGTTGCTATTGCTGAAGCCAAGGAGCCTGCATTCGCTCCATAAGACGCACACACATTTCCCCTTAATTTTTGAAGGGGAAAAAGTGCGTCCTATAGAGCGAAAAATATGGTAGATGCAGAAGTTTCTTTTCTAGTTGCTTTTTAAAGTTGACTTTTGGATAGAAGGACCAATGAAAGAACTTATTTCTCTCCCCCTGTGCTTTTATATGCTAAGG